CGCCCGGCTAATTTTTTGTATTTTTAGTAGAGATGGGGTTTCACCTTGTTAGCCAGGATGGTCTCGATCTCCTGACCTCATGATCCGCCCGTCTCAGCCTCCCAAAGTGCTGGGATTACAGGCTTGAGCCACCGCGCTCGGCCTGGAAATGAGATGTTAAGAAACAGTTTCTGGCCAGGTGCAGTGGCTCACGCCTATAATCCCAGCACTTTAGAAGGACTAGGTAGTAGACTGCTTGAAGTCAGGAGTGCAAGACCAGCTTGGGCAACAAAGCAAGATCCCCATCTCTTTAAAAAATGTAAAAATTAGCTGAACATGGTGGTGTGCACCTGTAGTTTCAGCTACTCAGGAGGCTGAGGTGGGAAGATGGCTTGACCCCAGGAGTTCAAAGCTGTAGTGAACTACTATGGAGCTATTGAACTCTAGCCTGGGCTACTGAGACATCGCCTCTAAAAATTTTTTTAAGTTTCAAAATAAGAGTTGGGAAACTATTATATCAAGAATAGGTGAACAATATGTATGATAAAATGACAAAAATATATATATAATGAATTTTTAAATTAAGTTACAAAGTCTGAAGATTAAACAAGAAAATACCGAAAAAGGACTGGTGCCATTAGAGTAGGCAGAACAGTTGACACCTTCAAGAAAAAAGCAGAGGGGAAAAAAATCAAAACCCTGATATAAACAGCTAGGTGGAATAAAGTGAAGGATATATTAAAATTAACAGGTTCAAGAGCAGGGAATAAATGACTAAGCCAGTAAAATTATCATATAAATAAAAGCATGTTGTTCAAAACCCCTAGGTAAGGCCAGTTGTGCTAGCTCATGCCTGTAATCCCAGCACTTTGGGAGCCAAGGTGTGGGTGTGGGGGACAGCTTGAGCCCAGGAGTTCGAGACCAGCCTGGGCAACACAGTGAAGCCCTGTCTCTATGAAAATAAAAATCTAAAAAGCTCTAGGTCTCTGAAATTAGCAAGTGAGTCAAGAATCAGCGGTTTTTTTGTTTTTTGTTTTTTTAGAGATGGTGTCTTGCTCTGTCACCCAGGCTGGAGTCCAGTAGCATGAGCTCAGCTCACTGCAACCTCCGCCTCCCAGGTTCAAGTGATTCTCCTGTCAGCCTCCCAAGTAGCTGGGATTACAGGTACCTGCCATCACACCCGTCTAATTTTTGTGTTTTTGGCAGAGACTGGGTTTCACCATGTTGGCCAGGTTGGTCGCCAGCTCTTGACCTCAGGTGATCCGGGATTACAGATATGAGCCATCATGCCCAGCCCATTTTTATTTTTTTAATACTCTCTCTCAGTAGACTCAGTATTACCAGTTTTATTTATTTATTTATTTAGGAACAGAGTCTCCCTCTATGGCCCAGACTAGAGTACAGTGACACAGTCTTGGCTCACTGCAACCTTTGCCAACCGTGTTCAAGTGATACTCGTGCCTCAGCCTCCCAAGTAGCTGGGACTACAGGCACATATCACCACGCCCAGCTAATTTCTTGTATTTTTAGCAGAGACAGGGTCTCACCATGTTGACCAGGCTGGTCTCGAACTCCTGGCCTCAAGGAATCCATCTGCCTCAGACTTCCAAAGTGCTGGGACAGGCGTGAGCCACCACACCTAGCAGTATTACCAGTTTTAAATAATGGGTTTTGTTGCAAAATAGTCTGCAAAATACTTTATCAGGCATTTTAACATCACCATTAACTAGCCTAAGAATCAAATAACTGGACTTAATCTCAGTACTTTGGGAGGCCAAGGCAAGAGGATCATGAGATCAGGAGTTGAAGACCAGCCTGGCCAAGATAGTGAAACCCTGTCTCTACTAAAAATACAAAAATTAGCCAGGTGCGGCGGCAGGCGCCTGTAATCCCAGCTACTTGGGAGGCTGAGGCAAAAAATTGCTTGAACCCAGGAGGTGGAGGTTGCAGTGAGCCGAAATCACGCCACTGCATTCCAGCCTAGGTGACAGAGCAAGACTACATCTCAAAAAAATAAATAAATAAAAATAAAGGCAGTTTAGCATAGAAGCTAAGTAGAAGTTCTTAAACTAATCCTGGGTTCAAATCCATAATTTTCAGCAATTCTCATTTCAGATAATGAGAGTCAGCTCTCATTATCTGCAGTACTTGTGGTTCAATAAAATCACTATGACTAATGACTTACTGCCCCTAGGAAAAATACAATTGGGTCCCTGACTCTGGTTATGACATTTTCAACCAACAATACACAACCCTGTTTTCTTTGTGTTTCTGTTTTTAAAGATATCTTATTTAATATATATGTTGATTAATACTGAACTCAGGGCCGGCCAAGCACAGTGGCTCACGCCTGTAATCCCAGCACTTTGGAAGGCCAAGGTGGGCAGATCACGAGGTCAGGAGTTCGAAACCAGCCCGTCCAATATGGTGAAACCCCGTCTCTACTAAAAATACAAAAATTAGCCAGGCATGGTGGCACACACCTGTAGTCCCAGCTACTCGGGTGGCTGAGGCAGAAGAATTGCTTGAACCCAGGAGGTGGAGGTAGCAGTGAGCTGAGACTGCGCCACTGCACTCCAGCCTGGGCGACAGAGCAAGACCCTGTCTCAAAAAAATAAAAATAAAAATAAAAATAAAATAAAAATTGAACTCATGGCCAACAGCACTGTACCTCATGCCTAAATGAAGCTTACCCAAGACACACTTTCTCCATATGGCACAGCTTTTTTGTACTTAGAAACACTAGACAGCACTTTGGTACACTTGGGGGCCATTTTAACAGCAAAATCACCAGGAAAAGCACACAAAAATGCAAAAATCATGGTGCTAAATGAAGACCATGAGAAGGACATATGCTTGACATACATACAGTAGCAACCCATGTTTGAGCTGAGCTTGGAACATATGTATTGGAAGACTAAAATTATTTGCTGCTCTGAACATAAGCATGTCCAAAAATGACTATGACGGTGTTAGGAATCTTGACTCTGGGGTTACAAGTAAATTTAAGTGAGTTGGCAAATTCACAAACATAGAATCCTTGAATAATGAAGAATGACTGTTCTTTATCTCCTTGCATCAGCCTATTTATGTAAAATGGGGGAGAAAAGTACCTCTACCTAATAAGAACTGTTGTGAGAGTAAGAGAAAACAGGCTGGGCGTGGTGGCTCATGCCTGTAATCCCAGCACTTTGGGAGGCCGAGGCGGGTGGATCACGCGGTCAGGAGATCAAGACCATCCTGGCCAACACGGTGAAACCCCGTCTCTACTAAAAATACAAAAAATTAGCCGGGCGTGGTGGCGGGCGCCTGTAGTCCCAGCTACTAGGGAGGCTGAGACAGGAGAATGGCATAAACCCAGAAGGCAAAGCTTGCAGTGAGCTGAGGCCACAGAGCGAGACTCCATCTCAAAAAAAAAAACCCCCAAAAAAAGTTAAAGTTAAACAGATGATCAAAAAAGTCAGAAGAATACAAAAGTATTTCTTCAATATTTAAATGACATAAAAAATATTCTGGCTGGTTATATTACCTTTTTAACTTTTAAAGACTCCTTTTTTCTCTCCAATTTTTCTTTCTTCTTCTGTTCCTGTAAGATAATTTTTTCTTATGTCACAAGTGGGAAGTGCAACATTAAAAAAAAAAACGCATATCAATTATCAAATAACTTATGTTTACAATGAGAAACTAAGGTCTATCATAATTAAAAAACAGGGAGGAACTTGTACTTCAACAAGCCTTTATGGACTAATGGGACAGATTTACCATCCTGCCTTAAACTAAAATCCAGATAAAATTTATTAAACAGTGGTTTTCAGACAACATGCAGTAACGAACTATAAACATTGACAAAAGGGAAACAAGGTTAATCTTCTGACTGCCCAGCTTATTGCCTGATACAATTTTAAAGTACAAATAATGGAGAAAACTCCAAACAGAGCCCAACAGTCTCTTTGTGTTGAGGAGACAGAACCCAAAACTTAAAAAACAAAAAACTTAAAAAACAAAGCAGTAGCATTCCCAGGGTCAAGTACCAGAGAGGACAGAGCTGCACAAAGGCAGCTGTTACCTCTCTCTCGGGCTGACTACTGGTAAGTGCATGGTAACCAAGGCCAGGAGAAAAGTCACCAGAAAGAAGTAGGTGGAACCGCTCATGTTCCAAGGGGTCAGGCATAATAAGGTATACCTCACATTCTCTCAGCCAAAGTGGAAAGTCCTCTTAATATAAAGGGCATCAAGTAGAGTGCTCAAGAAAGGGATCAACTTATTCCTAGACTAAAAGCTATTCTAGACATACTCTTACAAATGTTTAAAAGACACCAAAAATTCAAACCATTTCCAAGAGGTGATGAAAGGGGTAGATGTTGTGTAACTCATTAAGTTGAATATTTGTTTTTCCATTTGTTTTACTTTACCATAAAAAAGCAATAAAAGGGTTTCAAACAAAGAAAAAAGGAGATTTTATAAACACAGCAAAATTTAAACTGATAATTGGTAAATGTGGGTGATGGGAACACAGGGACTTACTGTATTCTCTCAATTTGCACAAGTTTTTAAATCTTCGTAACAGTCTAGTGGAAAGACAATAAATACAAAAAACGATATATATCAGATGAAAAGTGCAATGGGAAGAACAGAACAAGGTAAAGAGAATCAGGTGTGTCAGCAACTTTCTTAAAATTGTGAGGGCAGGTCTCATCTAGAAACCATTTAAGTCAAGGCTTGAAGATGAAGTTAAGCCATGCAGTTATTTAGAGGAAGAAGGTTCCAGGCATAAAATAGCAAGGGCAAAAGCCCAAGACAGGAAACACATCTGGAGACAGGTCTGAAAGGTAATGGGATTGAGGGAGGCAATCAAATTGCTTACAGACATATAGATATTATCAGGACTTTCACTTTTCAGAAACAACATAAGCTAGGAGACAGTGAAACATCTTTAAAGTACTCTAAGAAATAAAGTACTAAAGAAAAACAATTCTTTACCAGTAAAAATGTATTTCAAAAATGAAGGTAAGTGAAGACATTCAGATATATGAAAGCTAAAAGAACACATCACCAACAGAAAATGCAAATGAACCTATAATAACAGAAAACCGATCAATTGGCTATCTGTGGATAGAACATGGGGTAGGGATGGGGAAGAAGAATTATAAACGAGCCGAAAGAATTCTTTGGAATCAGTGGGTATGTCCACTATCATGATTGTTATGTCTTCACAAGTATATCCCTATATCAAAACTTAGGGAATTGTACATTTTAAATATGTGCAGTTTAGTGTATGTCAATTACACTCCAATAACGACATTTCTTAATGGAATCCTTCTCAGGAATAAAAAAATAACCTACAGAAAAACATGACATGAATTAATCTCAAAAATACACTGAGCAAAAGTAACAAGACAAAGAGTGCATATGTGCAAGAATATTGAGAAAAAAAAAACTCAGTTTCTCCCTACACACTCAACAATCAACACAAAAGACTTCTGTGACCCAATGTGTGGGGGTTTTCCCTATACATCAAAAAGCATTTCTGCAGTGACACCGGCTAGGTGTCCTCTATTGTACTTAAATTCTGACACTATCTACCGTGTGACAGCACCATACCCCATAGGTTGAGGGTTCAGTCCCCAAGACTTTACCTACCAGTTCCAGATGCCAATCACAAGGCCCAAGTCACTTTACCTGTGCTTCTGACTGAATAGCTATAAATCAGGGTTCCCACAAGCCCCTCTTTGGGTTTGACTAATTTGCTAGAGGAGCTTACAGAACTCAAAGAAACACTAAAGTTTATTGGTTTATTATAAAGAATATGATAGTCCGGGCGCAGTGGCTCACACCTGTAATCCCAGCACTTTGGGAGGCCAGGGTAAGCAGACCACTTGAGCCCAGGAGTTCTAGACAAGCCTTGGCAACACGGCAAAACTGTGTCTCTACAAAAAATACAAAAATAAGACAGACATAATGGTGTGCTCCAGTGGTGCAATCTCAGCTCACTGCAACCTCCGCCTCCCAGGTTCAAGCGATCCTCCTGCCTCAGCCTCCCAAGTAGCTGGGGTCACAGGCACACACCACCATGACCAGCTAATTTTCATATTTTTGGCAGAGACGGGTTTTCACTACGTTACTCAGGCTGGTGTCGAACTCCTGGGCTCAAGTGATCCACCCACCGTGGCCTCCCAAAGTGCTGGGATCAGAGGCATAAGCCACAGCCCCCAGCCTGTTGTGTTTTATTTTTGAGACAGGGTCTTGCTCTGTCACCCAGGCTAGAATGCAGTGGTGCCATCACAGCTCATTGCAGCTTCAATCTCCTTGGCTCAAGCCTCCTCCTGCCTCAGCCTCCCAAGTAGCTGGGACTAGAGGCACATGCCACCTTACCTAGCTAATCTGTCTATCAGAGATAGGGTTTTGTCATGTTACCCAGGCTGGTCTCAAACTTCCGGGCTCAAGCAATCCACCCACCTAGGCTTCCCAAAGTGCTAGGATTACAGACATGAGCCACGCCCAGCCCTTTTGGGTTTTTAATTAAGGCTTCATAACATAGACATGATTGATTCAATCATGACCACTGGTGAACAACTTAACTTTCAGTCCCCCTTTTTTCCCTCAAGGTTGAGGGTGAGGCTAAATCCCAATTTGTCTTTAATCTAGGCTTTGTCTTTCTTAGGCTTCCATCCTGAAGCTACCTAAGGGCTGCTAGCCACTGATCATTAGCATTAAAAAAAAAAAAAAAAAAAACACACAACGTTGAAGATTCCAAGGATTTTAAGAGTTCTATACCAGCAAATGGTGATGAAGACCAACTATTTACTCATAAAAGCACAATACCATGATTTCATTTATACAATTTTCTAGGAAAAAACAATACTGGTCTATAGTGACAGAAAGCACTGTGGTTGCTGGACACCAGCCATTGGGATCACTGTCAGCACAAGACAATTTTTTGGAGTTCATGGAAATGCACTGTGTCTTGATTGTGCTGGTGGTTACACAGATCTATATATTTACTAGTCAAACTTAGCAAACTGTACACTTAAAATCTGTATATTTTAGTGTATATAATGTACACTTCAATAAAGCTATTTTTAAATTTTTTTAAGCTTTCACTTATAGTCAGTTACATATACATACCTCTAATTGTTGCTGTTCCATTTTCGTCAACAAAAATTTGGAGTAGATATTGCTTTTTTCAAGCAAATGTTGAAGTCTACGGTACCGAATTTCTGTCGACTCTCTATCCCAAGACATGCGAGCCTATCCAAAGAGAAAACTTCCATAATTATGAACACTTTCTGACATACATTGATTTTTTTTGGCATAAAGTTTAATAAAAATGGCTAAAGTAACATTTTTTAAACCAAACACTTTTTCAAATCAAAAACTGGAATAACTGTTAAAAAGAAAAGTTTTTGGGTTCAACAGGCAATCTGATAGATGCAGTTTATATATCAAAATATTATAATTTCAAATATTGAACACATGGTTTCTGGCATCTACTGAGTTGGAAGGTCTATTTAAAAAACAACTGAAGGCCGGGTGCAGTGGCTCACTGGCTCACACCTGTAATCCCAGCACTTTGGGAGGCCAAAGCGGGAGGATCACCTGAGGTCGAGAGTTCGAGACCAGTCGGACCAACATGGAGAAACTCCGTCCCGACTAAAAATACAAAATTAGCCAGGCGCAGTGGCGCATGCCTGTAATCCCAGCTATTTGGGAGGCTGAGGTAGGAGAATCACTTGAACCCGGGGAGGGGGCAGAGGTTGCAGTGAGCCGAGATCACACCACTGCACTCCAAACAAGAGCAAAACTCTATATCAATTAAAAAAAAAAAAAAAATTGGGGCGAGGCACGGTGGCTCACACCTGTAATCCCAGCACTTTGGGAGGCCGAAGAGCATGGATCACCTGAAGTTAGTAGTTTGAGACCAGTCTGGCCAAAATGGTGAAACCCCATCTCTACTAAAAATATAAAAATTAGCTGGACGTGGTGGCACATGCCTGTAGTCCCAGCTACTTAGGAGGCTGAGGCAGGAGAATTGCTTAAACCCGGGAAGCCGATGTTGCAGTGAGCTGAGATGACACCACTGCACTCCAGCCTGGGTGAAAGAGGCGCCATTTCAAAAAAAAAAAAAAATATGTAGCCATTTTCAATCTTAAGTGTGTAATCTGCTAAAACACTGATGTTGTGGTTCCATGTTATTACATTACCTTGTTACGTACAGAGAAGGGAAATTTTTGATTTATTTTGCACTTGACCCTCATAAAAAGTAACTGCCTAGGTGACACTAGGAAATTCTAAGACAAGTTTTCAGAGTCTCTCCCTGTTTGAGATGAATAAACAAGTTTATCTGGAGAGAACATTTTAGAAAAATACTATGAACACAATTCATCCTAACAATCAAAACAGACATCTAGCCAAGATTAACATCCGCACCCCATTTTTTAAGGCAGGGTCTCATGCTGTAAATGGTGCAATTGCAGCTTACTGAAGCCTTGAAATCCCAGGATCAAAGGACCCTCCCACCTCAGCCTCCAAAGTAGCTGGGACTCTAGGCAGATGCCACCATGCCCTGTTAATTTTTGTATTTTTTTTTTTGTAGAGGCAGGGTTTCGCTTTATTGCTAAAGCAGGTCTCCAACTCCTAAACTCAAGAGATTCATCTGCCTTGTCCTCCTAAAGTACTGGGATTATAGGCATGTGCCACCATGCCCAACCAAGATTACCAATTCTGTAACATCAATCCAGCCTAGTAAATCAACAAACATGTACTGCAACAATTATATAAATTACATAACTGGTAGAAGACAGAAAGTCTGATTTATACAACAAATGAGGCATTAATATATCTGAAAACAACAAGTATTAAAGACAGATACACATAGCAGCAAACTGTACAGTACTATCTAAATCCTGGAAAAGTCTAAGAATCACTAAGATCAGAGAAGTCAGATTTCAGGAAATAGATAACATCTGAGGGGTCTGAAGGATAGATAAATGAGAGCAGAAGAACTCAAGTTTTGTCAATTACTGTAGAAGTTCCTGAATTAAGCAACATTGGCCTCAGCAAGAGCACTAAAAATCACACTTAACTTTAGAATTAAAAATACTTTCAGAGATTACATAGTAGATATCTTTCATTTTATACAGTCTAGACAAACTCTTAAAAGAGTTTAGTGGCAGATTTTTTAGTATTTTGTTTTCTCAACTAAACCAACTCCCCTACTTTTCAACAAGGATTAATGAAAACACAAAGTCAACCAATAAAATCTAACTGCCCCTTTCCCCAGTAATTGGTGGTTTCAACTTAGAGAAAAGTAACTGAGCATTTACAGAGTGTTTGAAATGCGGGATATAAGCTCATTTTTATACTCTAAATGATGCCCTAGCACTTCGGTAGTTTTGCTGCTCCAGCTTGTCAATATCTCTAAGATATCATTTCATATTGCCTTACATTTTCCTTCTGCCCAGGCTGGAGTGCAGTGGCGCAATCTTGGCTGGCCCCCGCCTCCGCCCCCGCCCCCACCTCCGCCCGGGTTCAAGCAATTCTCTGCCTCAGCCTCCCTAGTAAAGCTAGGATTGCAGGCGCCTGCCACCATGCGCAGCTAATTTTTGTATGTGCCGGTGCCTGGCCAGCACATATTTTTAAAATAACTAGATACAGCCAGGCACGGTGGCTCACGCCTGTAATGCCAGCACTTTGGGAAGTCGAGGCAGGCAGATCACGAGGTCAGGAGTTTGCGACCAGGCTGGTCAGTATGTTGAAACCTTGTCTCTACTAAAAATACAAAAAAAATTAGCCAGGCGTGGTGGCACGTCCTAGCTACTTGGGAGGCTGAGGCAGAAGAATCGCTTGAACCGGGGAGGCAAAGGTCGCACTGAGCCAAGATCATGCCACTGCACTCCAGCCTTAGCAACAGAGGGAGACTCGTCTCAAAACAAACAAAC